TTTCTATTTTCTCTTTTGAGGCAGGGTCGCTGAGTCGCTTAGAGCCTCGCTAAATTACAGAGGCTGGTTTTGAATTCCCGATCCTCCTGACTCAGCCTCCGGAGCTGCTGAGATTACAGGCGAGCGCCACCGCGCTCGGAAAGAAAACCACAACTTTGAATCCAACATGTGATGAGAGTGGTTCATTCAAACTACTTCCCTCAAACACTGACAACTGACCACAGGTGAAACTGTGCAGCATTACACATACTCAGGGTACAAACAAAACGTTTGTACCTTGCAATGTGGGAGAAGGGACTGGGGCAGATGAACAAAAAACCAGGAAGACGCAGAATCGAAGTTAGGTAAGAAGTGCGCCGGACACTGGCAGGTCCCAAGGAAGGCGGGAGGGAGAAACGTGCCAGAGGAGGTTATTTTTTGGTTTTGGGGTGTGTGTGTGTGCCGGGGATTGAACTCAGGGACCCTCGACTGAGCCACCTTCCCAGCCCTATTTTGCATTTTATTTAGAGACAGGGTCTCCCTGAGTTGCTTAGCGCCTCGCCATTGCTGAGGCTGGCTTTGAACTCGCGATCCTCCAGCCTCAGCCTCCCGAGCCTCTGGGATTACAGGCGTGCGCCACCGCGCCCAGCCAGAAGAGGTTCTATGGGACGCCAGGGGACACCCACAGCGCACCGAGGGGTCTCGAACTCGAGGGGCCAGCGGGCGGGGAACCACGCGACGCTCCTCACCTTGACCGAGTATAATTGTCGCGGCAGCACCACCTGCAGGTCCAAAAACAGGGTGATGGGGATGTGGGAGAGAAAGTAGAAGCCCAGCAGAAAGTCAAGGCTGCGCTTGACGATCATAGTCCCCTGACTGTGGACGGGCCGGGGGCCGAGGTTCTCTGGGTCCGGACCGGCAGACCTGGGAAGAAGGCCCGCGCCGTGCAGCGGCGGAGGGATCCCGGGCCGCAGCGGTAGCTCCGCCCCCTTGAAGGGCATGCCGACTGCTCTCATTGGCTGATGGAGAAGCAGGAGAGGCGCGCCTACAGGAAGCGGGACTCTCTGCGGTGTGCTATTGGCTTCTCCGCGTATAGCTTGAGAGAAGGCGCCCCGCAGACGGTTTCCATTGGTTGCCGGGAGCGCCGCGTGAGAGGGGCGGGGCTCTTGCACAACACCTAAGTGGGCGCGCGGGAGTCTGGTTGCCAGGAGACGCCTGGTGTCTTGGCGCGGGTCGTAGTTGCAAGGGGCTGCCCGCTTTGGTCCCTTTCCTTCAAGATTCCATTCGCCCGCTGAGCTCAGTCGTTTTTACCAGCACCTGTTAAGTGCTGGGCCACGGAGCTGCCAGTGCACAGTGCTGGTGGCAGAGCAGGGCAGGCCGGGCTTGTGCGATTGCGCTCTCCGAAAGATCCCTGTCCGGCCGGGTTGGGGGTCCAGGGAAACTTGAAAAGGATGCCTAGGAAGTAACCTCACGGAGAAGGTAGAATGGACAGGACTTGGTGATTGGCTGTGGAGAATGGGGGAAGATCTGTCTATAGAGGAGAAAGAGTAGATTCATTGCTCACTGAGAAAATACTGATATTTTATGCAGAACCCAGGTCGGGTTGGAACAGGATGGATGGGGTTGCCATTCACTGAGAAGAAGGGACACAGGGGAAGTGAGTTCAAGGGAAGATGATTCAGTTTTGGCCTTGTTGACACTGAGCAGTCTCTGCAACATCTGGTGGATGCTAATAGGCCGTTGGATGAACCTGTTGGAGACTAGACTTGTGAAACATCAGCGTTTGATGGGAGTCAAATTTTTGAGGAGAAAGCCTAGAGGAGATCCTAAAGCTCCAACCTCAGGGGTCTGAGATGAAGGTGGGCAAGGAGGAGTATGACATCACAGGGAGAAGGGAGGGTCACCTGGGTCAGGGCCACCTGGGGTGGTGCCCACCAGTGGCTCTGTTGAGAACAGTTGTGGGGGCAGGGTGGCAGATGGCAGAGTAGCAAGGAATAAGGAAGTTGGGGAAATGGAGGCAGAAAGTGTCATAAAGGGGAGGACAGATCCTCAAAAGAAGGTGTTTAAAGTTTATGGTCAGAGGAAAAAAAGAGTAGAAAACATGGCCTAAGGCTTCCAAGAAGGTGGAGGAAGGATTAGGGTTCGGTTTAGGTGGTTTGTGTGCCCCATGGATAGAGGGATGGTTGGCAGTGCTGAGGTGGGTGATCCTTGACCTGTAGGCCCCATTCTCCTAGGCTGTGCTTTTCTTCATTGTGAGGTCAGCTCAGCAAAAGGGAGTTGGACTCATCCAGAAGAGGTTCAGGAAAACAAAGGTGATTTGAGGGAGTTGAACAGGAGGGTGGTTGAAGTGATGGAGCATGCAATTCAAGCTAGTTAAGAAGACATGAGGCCAAAGGGGGCTGGTGACAGAGAAAATGGAGAAGTGAATGGGTTCGAAGCACTGATGAGGAAGCCCTTGGTGTGATGGGTGTCATTAGCCAGAGGCTGGGAGATTAGGACAAGGGGGTTCGATGTCTGGAATCCTGGTGTCAGAAAGTTCTGCCTGTGGGAGGGTATGACTGAAATGGAATGGGGAGGAAGGTCTTTGGAGATGAGGTCAAGGGACAAAGTATCCAAAGGCCACTTAGGCATGTTTGCATGAGGAGAAGGCCTGTATGTAATGGCAGTAATCAGGAGGAAGGTGGGCATGGTCTTAGGGATCAGGGAGACTGGTGACCCTGAATCTGACCTTGAAGAGTGAGAAAATGAACAGCTTGCACCCGAGAGGGCTGTGTGGAAGCTGAGTTCTGGGGAGAGCCAGGTGCCAATTTCTGCAGAGTCCATGGCTGAGGGGCCTGGAGGGGTTTGGCTGGGGAAGAGGGGGTGTTTACCAAGGAAGTACAATTGGCAGGGGGTGAGGAGGCATAGCCGTAGAGGGACATGGAGGTTCTGTCTGAGTTGGAGAGCAAGGGGGTGAACGACCTGGATGGCTGAACACGCAAAAACACAAAATTCTGACTGGTTCTGGAGCCAGCAGCCTGAGTGAATGAGGGGCATTCAGTGCTGTTTTCCTGCTCCAGAGATCTGAGTCCAGGGGAAAAAAACTTCCCTTTAGGGAGGTTGAGGTAGGGATAACTCAGATCCAGCTGTGGCTTTTTCTAGAAAAAAGACTGGTGTCTGAAAAATCTTCGGTCACCTGAGGAGATTGTTTTTTATGAAGTAAGGCCTTGAAGGCAAGTTGGTCCTTCCTGCCCTCCACTCTGGCCTTCAATTCTGTCTGTAAGCTTCTGCCTCTTCCCCTTCTCCATATCATTCACTTGTTAGAGACTATGAAGAGCTGAGATGGCCCCCTCCAGATAATTGAGGACCTAATACCTCATGAAGAAACTGAGGCTCAGAGAGGTATCATCCCAGCTCACAAAACTGGTAATAAGGCAGAGAGTAGAACCTGTGTCCTAAACCCCAGCCCGTCTCTTACAAGGGTGGAGTAGTGTTTGGTTCAGGGCTTCTATCTCTGGGGCAGGGCAAGTACCTCCCCTATAAGGTCCCCAGACCCTCCCGATGAGGGAAGACTAGGGCCCAGGAAAGGCTTGGACAGGTAGGAAAGGGCCTGCGTGTGCCAACTCCACCCCCAACGCCCTGAATGGCTTTAAGAATGGGGCAGCATATTTTAATGAGCATGGGAGTACAGACCCTTGTACACCAAGTTGATTATCACTGCTTGCTGGGGGAGGAGTGTAGGGCCCTAAGCTGGCATTTGCCCAGGGAACATGGTAACTGTACAGCTGTCAGTGTGACTGCAACTGAAGAAACATCTTGCCCAGCCAAGTTTGTTATCTGTAGATAAAGATTTTCAAGGTCAAGCACTTTCACTGGAGGGGCCCCTTCATACACACACATACAAATCTCTCCAGTTGTTCCTTCTGTTTGAAATTCCTTTAGTGGGAGAACTGTGGTTCTTGACTTGATGAGGTCAGATCAGTCTTGGAATGCAAATGGTCCTGGGAGAGATCAGCTGAGGAGAACACAGCTAATCTGCAGTCATCACCCAAAAGCATGTGTCCTTAGGAGAAGAGACTATGTTTAGGACCTTTTGAAATTTATTTGCATTATGACAAGACAATCATCATCAGCTCAACAGTGGACACTGTACTGGTGCAAAGGGGATTCTAGCTATTTTCCTGTTTTTGCTTCACTTTTCTACTTAAAATGCACCCACCCTTCTTACTCTATCCCCACCTACCTCCCTACATCCTTCTGTATTTTAAGGCCCTGTTGAAAGCCAACCCCTCCCCATTACCACCACCTCTTTTTTTTTTTTTTTTTTGGTAATAGGAATTGAAACCAGGGCCACTCTACCACTGAGCTTCACCCCAAGTCCTTTTTATTTTTATTCTTTAAGTTGTTGATGGACCTTTATTTTATTTTTATTTGGTGCTAATAATCTAACCCAGTGCCTCATACATGTTAGGAAAGCACTCAACCAGTGGGATATGACCCCCACCCATCCTTTTTATTTTTTGAGACAGGGTCTTGCTAAGTTGCCTAGGCTGGCCATGAACCTATTGATCCTTCTGCTTTGGCCTCCTGAGTCACTAGAATTACAGGCATATGCCGTGTGCTCCCCCCACCCCCATTATCTGAATTTAGCGGCTCTGTCTCTGAACATGTTTCCCACTAAACCTCAGGTGCCTCACAAACAAGCATTGTGCCTTATGAGCCTTGATTTATCAACACAAAGCTGGAGTCATTGTTGAATGAACTAAATAGAGAAATTAATCCTCTGCCACATGTAGTCAGTTACTTAGGATAAGGAACAATGGGTCTCAGCTAACCAAAGGCATGATGTAGATGAATCAAATTTCAACAGGTTCTGGTGTTATGGAAAGTGGTAAAARCTGGAAAGCCATGTGGCTCCCCAATCAGCAGATGGCTTCACGCTTCAAAACTGAACTAGTAGGTTCTCATTCATAAGACTCAGAATCTTTCTTGAGATCTGTGGGTTTCACTGAGGTAGTGGACAGTTGGCCACCTAGCTTTAGGCTGTCTTGCATGGTCCCCCTATTTTTGGTACTGAGGATTGGACCTGGGGTGTTTTATTACTGAACTACATCCCCAGCCCCCCCCCTTTTTTTTGAGAGAGAGGGTCTCATCAAGTTGTTTAGGGCCTTGCTAAATTGCTGAGGCTGACCTTGAACTTGTATTCCTCTTACCTTGGCCTCCCAAATGTCTGGAGATTATAGGTGTGTGCTACTGCACCAGGCTTCTGCTCATTTTGAGGAAATGGGAAGTATATCACATCACCTCTGTGATAGTTTTTCACAGGATGTCTTGAGTAATATTCCATTTCACATTTTTTTCAAAAATGTTTGAAACATCGGGAAACAGACAAATCCAAGTCTTTGTGGAACTTTCTACATGATAATTGGCTTTGCCCTTTCATAAATTACAGTGTCACGAAATAAGAAGGGGTAGAGGGAGGGACTCTCCTGTATTAAAAGATACTTAAAAAGACATGACAACCAAATGTAAGATGTGATCCTAAACTGGATTCTGAATTGAGAGGGTAATACTTATAAATGAAATGAGGGACAACTGGATAAATTTGAATGTGCTTGACATATTAGGTAACATATCACTTGTTGAATTTCTTAGACATTTTTCATGATGGGCTGGAGATGCGTCTCTGGTAGAGCCCTAGCATTGAAAAAAAAAATGGCATGATGATGGAATTATACTTATGTAGAATAATGTCCTTGTTTTTAGAAGATATATTAGGGTGAGTTTTCAGCAAAAACAAGAAAGTACACATAATTTGTACACAAAATGTACACACATATTTGTATGTGGATAAACTGATAAGGGAGATGTGGCAAACTGATTAAAATTGGTGAATCTAAGTGAAAGGTATATGAGTTTTGATTATATTATTTCTTTCTCTTTTCTAAAGGCAGAGCAGAGATAGCCAGGGCT